CGAATGCCTCCAGAAAGGAAGGCTAAGCAACTGTTCCTTGCAAATCTGACCGGCAAAAGGCCCAGGGAACAGCCAAGATTAACCTGGTGCAAATATATGGAAGAAGTCTGTTCCAGACTCTATTTGTCTTTTGCCGAAGCTCAGATTCTGGCACAGGATCGGGAGCGTTGGAAGCGCTGTCTGACGTGCCTGCCTCTGTGACCCAAATGGAGCAGCGGCGATGGAAGATGATAATGATAATGATGATGTCAACCGTGCAATCAATGTTCAATTTTTCAATCAGGCTAACTTAAGCTGTATTATACGGTTTATGCCATATTCATGCAAGATGATTGAAACAAGCGCCAATGAAATCTAATCAAAAGCTCAACTGCGGCCGATGAAAGGAAAGCATAGTGACACTTGACGTTATTCGCGAAATCGAAGTAGAAGCCTGTGATCTGATCCAGAGCAGATGATTTTCTTGCCTACGGCCGAAATGTATGATATAAGCTGTTTCTTGTAAGTCAACACACGGTCGATTTGGTTCCGAGACTTTGCTTCTACGCTTTTCAATGTCAAACGCCGCTTTGGAGCTTCCTAGATCACCATGCTCATGATGTGGAGGCAGTTACTATGAGAGAAAATTGCGAAACGGTCGCCATATCTATTTCTTTCTCTTTTTATGCACGTAGCGCCTCGTTCATTCTTTCTAAATAGGTCCAACTTAACCGATCATTTTCTCACGACTGCGCGAAAATCTCCTTGGACAATCATGCCCATAGTCTTCTTCGCTACGTCTCCCAGTTCTTCGCAAGAACTCTTCGATCTCTTCAACTTCTGTTTGTCAGGTTGGACTGTATGCTTTGAACATTACTGGTCTTTTATTCCATCGATAAAATGACAGCTCACAACAAATAGTATATTCTTCCTTTTTATTATGAATCGAACACCTCCGGTCCGAGAATGGTTCTCGAAGGCTTTACCGAGGAATGCTTGTTGGTCTCCGTTACTCCATTGCACAGCAAGTTTAGTAGATCTTCGGGTCTCATATATTCCAATCACCAGCAGTTTGATCTTCTCCTAGACGCCGGTAAATTCGCCCGTCAATTGCGTTGTCACATTATGACTGGCCAAGAAGTTCATTCTGACTTTCCAGATCTGTTTAACAATCACGCCGAGTTGTTTACCAAATCGTAGGCGTTGTTCAGATCGACGCGACAATCTTCACTCAATTTCTGTTTCCCTTTTTCTTTGAGCATTTTTTTCCTGCTGTGTAGTTAATTGGTAGCTCTTTCGAGTTTCCAACCCTCGTTAACAACTGCCAACCTCCCCCAAACTTAATCCAGCCCAACGGATTCAAGGAAGCATAGCACTTTGCGATGTCACGCTGGCGGAAAGATGCCACTGGCGAGTGGCGGGCAACGCCACCGAGCGACCTCGATCTACTAGAACGGGCTGCCGTACTACTTCCAAGCCATCACGCAACAAGTGGGAGTGGGCAGAAAACGTTCCAAGAAGAATTGACCATCGCTGAACGCTGGACCAGAGAGACAGCGTGGTTCCAAAAGAAAATAAACGTTTAGTATGAAAGGCAAAACAGCTGGTCGTCGGTTTTTTAATATTTCCGTCGAAAATTAACCATCTTTGAACTACTGGAAATCTCGCTCAGAAATGTTTCAAAGTCAGAAACACAACGTCGCGTCCGGTAGCAATACAATATATTCAGCAAATGCATTAGAGTTCATGCACAATTTGCCCACTCTTACATCAGTTACAACCTCACTCTTCCGTATTGGTTAACATCCATCCAAGAAACACTGCCTTCATCTAAAATCGTCACTCCAGGCAAAATTACTGTTACAATTAAACTGAAATCCATTACGTGAGCGTCTAAAATGTACAGTCAAAAATTACTTCAGCAACTGAAAATTAAAGCCGTTCAGGTTCACTTCTTCATCCGTCCAATCAGCCCCGTCGCTCGCGTTCACTAGAAAGGAAAACCATGTTTATTGCGTAGTTTCACATAGAAACTTACCGCCTTTAATTTTTGAATCGTCTTGTGCACGGTATTCAGTGCTTTTGATGGCCAATTCGACTGAATAACCGGACAATTTCAGTTTGCTTGGACGGCGATTCTAACATGCGAAAAATAACAGCTAGTAACGAAAAATGTAGTCTCTGAATGTATCGTAACGTCTCATCATAACAACGGCAATCAATAATAAGTTATTCCAGATTATCTGCGAGCAGTGGACAACAGCGCCGCTTTTAACTTACTGTCAAAATAAGCAGGTGACACAGAAGTTCAGCTTGCAAATCACCTTCATTTTTGCCCTAACAAATTACGCCGAGTAACTGCGACATAGATAGTGATCATCGTATCACACAGTTCTATTCTTCCATATATCACATAACTTTGACAAAATTCGCCGACGCTACTCCAGTGTAACGATTCACTTTATAATCAATGTCGTCATTATTAGTTAAAACAATTCCCAGGTATCTAAAATGGTTCAACTCCTCTACTGCAGTACCTTTTTAGAATATCCTGAGTCTAACGTAGCGGCGGGCGCTCTCAATATTCTACATGCGTTGATTTGCAGCTCCACTCCCAGTCATGCTGCACATGCTGCCAGTGAACGTCAATAAGCCACTTTCAGTCAGTACGATGTCATTAGTATACTAAAAGTTCATATGAAATACCACATGACTTCTTGAGTTGCGTCACTGAATGACAGAAAGTTCTTCGATATTAGAGATCACGCTTTTTCGCATTATATGGTCCAAAATGATGTTGAACAACAAAAACATTCGCTTTGACAAACTCCACTGCAAATGTTGAACCAGTCCTACAGTGAACCTTCAGCTCCGGCAGCAAATTTTTCGCATTTACAAACCTATCAGGATCATCATCAAATGAATTTTACAATGACGAATACCACACGCCAAGCTTTCAGACGATGAACGTTACTGAGTCAAAGGACGTACGAAAATCTACAAACTTTGCGTTCTAGGGTTCTTTAAAGCACCGGCAATGCTTAAAGATCCATTTCGGCAAGAACACGTTATGCATGTACGAATGCTCGCTCTGAAAATTAACTCGTTTGCTCGCAGCAAATGTTAGATAGCCTCTTGCAACCGTTCAACGCTGAACCACTAAATACCCTATGTAGTAACGCCGGAAAGGAGATTACTCGACAGACGGTGCAATGCGAACTCCAGCCTTGAAAATCGGCATGATCATGCATTACGTCTAGTCTTCAGGGACCACAGACTTTAGCCAGATGCTCTCGAAAACCAAACAGATAAAGAGGTTTTCGAATTTACATTTCAAGAGCTCTACCTCCATGCTCGCAGGACTTCGAGCTCCTCGAATTTCACTGCTTGATGGCATGGAGCAGTAAACATTCAAATTTTATTCAAAGCCATGTCAAAAACCACATGAGGAGAAAGCCCATTGATAAGTTCTGTGAAACGATCAACCAATCGTTTTCGTTTGCTATCATCGTCCTATAGTGGTACACTGTATGTCGATGTTTTTGTTTGCTTCTATTGGCGACAGTATCCACCTGGCAATACAGCATCTTCTGCCGCTGCCTAAACAGCTTCTGCGCTTCAAAAAACAGTTAACTTTGTCTGTCACTGTTGACTGCTTTGAGGAGGAGTCACATTCATCTCTTAACATCAGGGTCACGCTATGACATCCCCACTTCGTCGCGTTTCTGTGCGAAGATTAACAGAATGGCGTGACCAGGAGTTGCTTGATTTTTCTGATGCTGAAGTCAGTAGTTTCGGCAGCAGCAACAACAATGAATTTTTTCAGGCAAATGTCGAGAAGCTCTGAGTCTATGCAGTTGTTGGCGACTATAACAGCCAATTTGCTGCCAATGTCCATTCAGAACGCCAAGGAAGTAACAGCGTCCGTCAGTTTGTCGGTGTCAGTCAATGACCGTTTCTCATTTGGGGGCGGAGATTCACGAATACTAGGAAATGGTAAAAAAAACTATATCTGTATTTCGCACTGCTTAAACGTCGTAGAGGGCACTCTGCTATTTGTTGCTGATCATAAGATGAAAGATCCAGCTTTGGAAGTAACTTCGCGGCGGCGTCTACTTCTGCTGATGCGACGATGCGGACACAGCGACACGCCGAGACCTAGTAACGTGGCCTGTTTCCATGATCAGCATCGCTGGCAATGAGGTCGCCGAGGACGTTTGATAACTGATGTCGCTGGAAAGAACCAAGACCTACCTAAAGACAGGTGTAAGAACTGCATCATCATAAGGTGGTAGGAGAATACACGGCGATAATGCTTGTCTTAACGTGCCTGACAAAAATCGTACTAAGATGATAGGTCACTCGTGTACTCGACGAAAATCAAACGTTTCTCAATTGGGAAAACGAGAACTGCGACTCCAGCGTTGCGTCGAGGGTCCAGGTTATCAAAACAGTAGAAGTGTCATCCCTCTTTTAACCGCTCATACCTGCATTTCGCCTGAGAGATGGGTCTCTGAGAGTAACAGGTTGTCCAGACTGTAACGCACTGCAGTTCTGGTAACGTCGTCTCGTAAGTTATCACCGTTCAAAGCCCCGCATTCTAGCAGGCAACCCATAAATTCTCCTATTATATGCTGGGCTTCTACAACTCAGATTAATTGGTAGAACTATTTGAACTGTCCTGTAGATGCGAACGCTTATCGCACAGGTGCTGAAAAGACACGCAGCGAAACTGACATGCAGTCACAAAAAAGATGAAAAGTAATCCAAATTTATCAGCTGCGCTAGTCGGTAAAACGAACTTAATCATCAAAATAATATGTTACTCATAACTGATATATAACATTTGAGTATCACATAAGACACTGCTGTTGGACGATCGAAACTCTAAACCAGCTTCCCGGTCACTGACATTAACGTTCATTCGCTTAAAGAAGTAACATCCGAAACTCATGACTAAATTACAGTTCTCAAAGTCGTAGTCGCAACCATC